AATCACTACACTATCTCCTCAAAATTTTTTTTTTTTTTTTTTTTATTTTTTTTTAAAATTTTGAAAAACCCCCCCCCCCCCCCCCAAAAAAAAAAAAAAAAAAAAAAAAAAAGAAGTGTTTCCCGCGTTTTCAATTTTTTCAAGTTTTACACTGAAAACGCCCAAAACGACAAAAAAGTCGTTTTGTGTTTTCTTCACAAATTTTTTTTCGTTTTCGAAAACTGGAACGAGAACGCGTTTTCACCGTTTTGAAAAATCAAAAACAGAAAACGACCCGAAAACGGTAAAGAGAACAGGCCCTTAGGTTCCCATTCAATTTTTCCATTGGCATTCCCATAGTTTTAAATTTCAGTATAAGTAGATCCCTACCATATAATATAGGTATATTTTCTTGTCAAAATCTTGAAGTCTCATGAATCACGAGTTACATTTAGAAAGTGTAACAAAAAAAAATGAACTCGTCAAATCACATCGAAACTATGACTTTGATTTAGATTCACATAGGTCCGTCAATATTTCTATTTTTAGCCGAACGAGTTCGATTTCCATAATGGAATCCAACCGTTCCAGATCCTAGCTCATCCACCAATATCATATGCTAATAAACAGGAGTCGTGTTACTACATACCCCCAAAAAAATAATAATAATAATAATAATAATAAATCCCGACAACACACGATATATATACAAGAAGCTCGCACTGAACGAAATTGTAGAAACATAACTGTAGGCAATCTCACTTCCTCTTTCCCAAAACCCTTAAAAATCACCATTCGAAACCCCGCCATTTCCACTTATCTCGTGCACATACGAACGCTGATATGGCCGCAACTATAGCCAGGTCAATCCTGGCCGTCCGATCAACCGGAGCCACCGCTTCTCTCCTCCTCCCAAGACGGCTATTCTCTTTCTCTGTTTCTAAACCCGGTTTCGTCCGCCCCGGCTTCGGAACCGGGTCCTCCACCCGCTCAGCCACACCCGCTTCCTTGTCCCACTCTCTGCAGGTTACTTCTCCTAACTTGACCCGGTATAACACGATCAGATGCCGAGTCAATCGGTCCGGATCTTCTTACTCGCCACTGAACTCGGGGTCGAACTTTGGTGACCGCCCACCCACAGAGATGGCGCCGCTTTTCCCCGGATGTGATTATGAGCACTGGCTTATTGTCATGGATAAGCCTGGCGGTGAAGGGGCGACTAAGCAGCAGATGATTGATTGTTATATTCAAACGCTAGCTAAAGTTGTTGGAAGGTTGATTAAATATATGACTTTTAATTTAATTGTTGTTGGATATTTCTTAATATTTAATAGCCTCATATTTGGTAACATTAATTGCTATACTCACATTTTAGGTAATGATTAACATGTATTTGCAGGACAAATAGCATGTTTGGCTATGCTGAAAGTTTTTTTATATGTACTAAAATGTAAATATAAGTTTCAAAATAAATTATTTCTTTTGTTGAAAAATGCTAGAAATAAGTAAGTTTTGGCTGTAGGGTTGGATTTCTGTCATAAAATTAAGTTTTTTTTACTTGAAACTAAGAAATAACCATACATGTTTGTCTATACAAAGTTAAAGCATTATCACTTTTTTTGGGCTGTACGTGGTTAATTGGAAAGTTTTTGGATTTAGAAAATTCTGTATCCTACTGGGAAGCATAGTGCAGTAGCTTTTAATAACAAGTCGGTTGATCAAGAATGGAAAATGTGAGATATGAAGTAATAACATCCTTGTTTAGTGAAATGGATTTTTTTTTTATATTTTATATTGTTGGATACTTATTCCCGGGTTATGGATTGTCTTTGTGGTTTTAATAGCGAAGAGGAGGCTAAAAAGAAGATATATAATGTGTCATGTGAGAGGTACTTTGGATTTGGATGTGAGATTGATGAGGAGACCTCAAACAAGCTTGAAGGTTAGTTCTTGCCTCTTGGCGATTGATTTTCTATTCTTCCTTTGAATTTAATTCAGTTATTGATATGAATAAGGCCTGGAAGCAGGCTTAAACAGTTTTTCATTTCATTAGTCCAAACATTCCCATTTTTGTGTAGGATTGCCTGGTGTTCTGTTTGTTCTTCCAGATTCTTATGTTGATGCTGAGAATAAGGACTATGGAGGTAATTTATCTTCTATAACTTTCTTTTTCTGTCATCTAGGATTCAAATAATTTAACTGTTACAGTCACTCAACTAATGAATTCCTTCATATGGGACTATTGGTTTGGTATGTGTTCCACTTCTCATCCAATGTGTTTAATACGTTTTTGTGGTGATATTTATTCCAACTGTGTACTGAGTTGGCACGTGGTTGGATTATGTATTATATAGTGCAGTGTCAATTATCAGATATACAGCATTCATGGGTGAACTTCTCAAGTTCGAATTTTCTGAAGTTTTGGTTATCATTCAAATTGGAAACTCTCAATTTAATAGAACTGGGCAGAACATTCCATTGTCAGTTTCTTTTTCTTGTTGAAGAACTATATATTCATCTTTATGCATTTATAAATTTCTCCAGTTATGTGTTTCACTTCTTAATTATTTTTTATGTGCATTGCTGATAATTCATTATAAAATTCAACTTGTATGCCATTTGTAACTTGTTTCATTTGGTCAAAGACGGAAGAGTTATGAAAGGGCTTTGAACAAGACTCGATGCCACTGGGTTTTGTACAGGATATAAATGATTATGGAATGGAAATGCAATTTGTCTGTGTTCTTCCTAATATGGAATAGAACTTGTGTGGAAAAATTATATTGCTGCAGAATGCCTACAGATATAACTTCAAACATGTAAAACTTCAACTAGTAACTCAAAATCCATAATGGAGAAGTTCAAGTTATTAATAGTTGAGACGTATTGTGGAAGATGTCCATTCTGAATCCGATATGCAAGAGACTGCTCTTTACTAAAAGCCATTCTTGGTACTGCGGACAAGTAATAAGTTGCACTTTATGTGTTGCAGCAGATGAACATTGACTTCCTTAGTGTAAAATAAGGATGTTGTGACTCCCTTCAATTATTTCCATTTTTATTTGTCTAACACAGCCCCCTTTTTTTTTCATATTAGACTGATGGATCTGACTGTGATAATGAATTAGACCATGTTTTTGTTAGTTGCAATCGTAGATCAAAATAAGGAAATTCCGACTGGGGTCCCAAGCCTGTTATATCTGGCTCTGTAGGTCCCTAACCTAGGAAGCGGTTCGGCCATCAAGTAAAAATTTGATAATTCGCGGGTATGAAAGGGTGCACTTGTCTTTTAAATAAAAATGTCCTTATTTAATGGTGAAATGGAACTAGGGTTCTAAAAATGAAAGATTTGGGACCCCACCATCAAAAGTTTCAAAGGTTAGTGATGTAGGATCATATTGGGGAAAGAAGTACTAGTAGAAATAAAATATTTTAATTCCGGATTGGGCCCATATGACTATTTTGGAAAGAGAATGATGAGAGGAACACTACTTACCGCTACGCTGTGATGTACGAAGAATTTCGACCATTCGAGTTTGTTTAGGACTCAAAAACTGATTTTTAAAGTTTTGGCGCTGTTTTTGTTGATTCGTTTATTTTGGGTTTTTTGCAATTTTAGTTTGTTTAAACTTCCTTTTCATTACTTTGAGTTGTTTTAAACTACGTTTCCATGTAAACCCTTATAAATAAGAGATTAGTTCTTTTTTTTCCTTTTTTTTAATCATTCATCAATAAAATTCGTGAAATTTATTTTTCTTCTTAATTTGGTGGATTTCAAATTTCGTAAACTCTAGGTTTTTGCCTGAATTCCTTTTTCTCGGTGCGTCAGTTAGGGACGACCCTAGCTGGAATATTCCAATTAAAATATTGTGCTTAGCTTCAGTTAAATTTGATTCAGTCGGTAGTTAAGTTTTGTTAAGGGGTTCATGATGTGTATCGATTCTATCTTTACTGGGTGATGTCATTGATTGTGCTTGATAATCACTCAATTTCATATATGTTTGCAGTATCCAATTCGGTGAAATTATTATGAGGGTGTTTGGCGTCCATTTTTTATGGAAAAATGAATTTTAGAATAGTAGATTGATAGAAAATATGCGGATGAAAAGTTTTTTATTTACATGTAAAATTAATCTTAATAAAGGATGTGTGGTTGAAAAGAAATCTTAATAAAGGATGTGTGGTTGAAAAGAAGAGAGATAAAAATGTATTTTGGGAAAAATGAGAATCAAACAGGACCTATATATGAAATCAAATATATTTTTGGCTCCAGTTCTCATTTATATGAAGAAGTAGATGTTAAGAAATCTGAACGTTTGCTGTAAATTCCTTTCTGGGCTATTGATGTTATTATGTGCAGGTTTGGGAAACATAAAATTTCCTTATAATTTAATGGTCATAGTCAAACATTAATTTCAACCACATATTTTGTAGGATCCACAACTCATTTATCCACCACTACTACTATCACATTATTATTTAAGCAGCTTATAATTTTATCCTAAACAAACACTCTATTTCGTATATTAAAGTTTGGAAGTGGCTCCTTTTCACATTTACTTGTAAAAGAAAATTTGGGCTTCCAGTCATATTCATATTATACTCAAAAATGTATTTTGAGCACCATTGCTGTTTATCTGGGTCTTGAAGTTATACTAGATATTGAATGATTTCTCTTCATCATCACAGCATTCAAAAGAATTTGTTTATATTTGCTATTAAGATTGATGAGATATCTTCTGTATCTCTCTGAACTTTTCATGGTTCAACAGCTGAGCTGTTCGTGAATGGAGAGATAGTTCAAAGATCGCCCGAGAGACAGAGGAGAGTGGAGCCTGTGCCTCAGAGAGCCCAAGACAGACCAAGATACAACGACCGAACTCGTTATGTGAGGCGTCGTGAAAATAATAGGTGAAAAGCGATAACAGGTTTATATAAGAACCTAGTTGTATGAAATTTCGATGAATGCCTTATCAATAAAATCCTTGTTTAGTGAAATGGATTTTTTTTTTATATTTTATATTGTTGGATACTTATTCCCGGGTTATGGATTGTCTTTGTGGTTTTAATAGCGAAGAGGAGGCTAAAAAGAAGATATATAATGTGTCATGTGAGAGGTACTTTGGATTTGGATGTGAGATTGATGAGGAGAGCTCAAACAAGCTTGAAGGATTGCCTGGTGTTCTGTTTGTTCTTCCAGATTCTTATGTTGATGCTGAGAATAAGGACTATGGAGCTGAGCTGTTCGTGAATGGAGAGAGAGTTCAAAGATCACCCGAGAGACAGAGGAGAGTGGAGCCTGTGCCTCAGAGAGCCCAAGACAGACCAAGATACAACGACCGAACTCGTTATGTGAGGCGTCGTGAAAATAATAGGTGAAAAGCGATAACAGGTTTATATAAGAACCTAGTTGTATGAAATTTCGATGAATGCCTTATCATTAATGGGTCTTATGTTGATATTATATTGTCGCTGGATTGTTATGGACTTGTAGGACAAGAATTCTCGAGTCAGTTCTCTACTCATGGAATCATTAATTTGTGGATCTCAAACTTTCTAATTAATATGTGATTATGAGATGAATTTTTTTGAAGTTGATCTGGTGGCTAAGATTTACATGAGTAGAATTAAAGTCGACTACAAACTTCATAAAGAAAAGGAATTGCGACGGGCCGACTATGATAGAGTAATTTATTTACACAGCTGATAGCACACAAGTCAATGACAATACTGTATATAGGCATTGTTCTCACTTGTATTCTCATCGTGTCTTGTCCAATCCAATCTATTGCTGAGCTTGTCCTGACGAATTATTGTATCCTTTGATAATTTTGGCCAAATCCTCTGAACCTAACCGCGTGCCTGATGTCCTCAACAGGTTATAAACTTACCACTGTTACATTAAAGCCATTTGATTAAAACTGCAAACAGAGTCAATTTTTTTAAGGTTTGTCACTCACATTGAACCCTATCTTTCTTTTACGAAAATCTAGGAAAATTGGAAAAGACAATTTCATATACAATATTATAAAAGAATTGCTTCTCCTTTTCTTTTCTTTTCTTTTTTGGGCTAGTGAGGGCCATAGGTGTGATAAAATGCTAGAAGCCAAAATGTGTAGAATAAGACAAAGGGCTGTTTGGTTTTTATCACCAGAGTGACCCCAAAAAATGTCACGAGAAAAAGGGTATCTAGCAGCATGCCTTAAATTAAGCAGGCAAAAGGGATAATCCATTTTCTTGATTAGGGAATCAATATAGTCTTTGGCTGGTTCTTCATTTCATGCCAAACACTAGCATACAAAAGAAGGGGATGATATTTGTTATATGCTAGATTTAAAGTTATATATTGAAAAGCGAAAAAATAGGGTTAAATGAAGTGCATGTCATTCAATTTTGATTGGAGTTATATCTTGATCACTCATCTACGAATTACATGTAAATTTGGTAAGTTATATTCAATTTGGTAAAATTTGATCATCAACTTTGAGTTTCCTTGCAAATATGGTTATTTTGTCCAATATCCCGTCAGTTAAACTAACGTAATATGATGACCTAAATGTTGAAACTAATGGATGAATGACGTTTATATTCACGTCATACAAAAATACACATTATACATCTTACAAAAAACACTCAAAAACGTATGAACTAAAAGTGTATTTTTACAAGCCACCTATTTATTAATTTGATGTTGAGGTCGACACGAGGGACGAAGTAACCAATTTTGCAAGAAAATCGAAATTAGATTACCTGATTATACCAAACCAAATGAGTGACTTAAATAATGCTCTCAATGTTGGGTGACTCGTAGTTCATTTAACCCTAGAAAATATGACAAAGCCAAAATTAAGACCGGTTGGATTTTAACAAAATACTAAGAATAATCAATTAACATTTGTTTGTTCAACCAATATTGAGAAATAGTTAAATTCCGGGTTTCGGTGGTTCTAAACGCATGAAAAAAGTTCATTTTTGACCAACAAACTTGTTGATTAAATATAAATATCGATTTGGATGGAAAGAATTTCGGAAAAAAAAAAAAAAAAAGACCTTCAAAGTTCAATAAATTTTTTCATAATAAATCGGCGAATAGTGAAGCTCTAGTTCTTGCTTTTAAAGAAAACCAAGAACCCATATTCGAATCAAGCCACATTAATTAAAGATAACAAGACATGCGAGATATTTATTTATTTATTTGTATAATTTTATAATTACGCCCAACATTATATACTAAATAGAGTGTTTGTAGAATTAATAAACTAACACTTTGAAAAAACAATATCGCTCGATGCTTCCTCCAAAATGTAAAAGAATTACATGTTTTTTACCCATTACTTTTTTGGTCAATCTCAACACTTTGGGGTATATGATTTCTATGCTATAAGAGTTGACCAAATTATAGTTTATAACTATAAAAGAGAATAATCTTCGTGTATATGGTCACTAGGAGAATATTTCTCTATGCTTAAAAAGTTCAATTGTTAAAAAAGTAAATCTAAAATTAATATTTATTTCGGCAATATAATGAGAATCTATTTTGAAACATTGACACACTATTTATTTTGCATCTCCATTCGTAATTAAATTTTTACTTTAACAAATTACGATATAATAATAGATCGAACAAAGTTGAAAAAAAGAATTATCAGGCAAGCCCAATGAATTAACCGAGTTGATTAGAAAGTTTTCGGAAAAGGATTCCACCCACCGCATGTGGTATCAATAGATAATTAAGTCGTTTTAACTACATGTTAACGTGATCACACAATAAAATATCACATAGTATTTTAAATCTAGTAATTAATTATATATAACACACCTTTTAAGCTTCTAAACAATTCAAAGAAGAGAAAGTTTATGCTTACTTTTAATTAAGTAGTAATAACTTAAACCAAGTCGCTAATTCATCTAACCTAAAAGACAAATAGATTTGAACCACAATAGGCATCGCAAGGGTGGCAAATAAGCCTTTTCTTCTACTAATTTATTTTACCTAGCTATTTTATTTATTTGGTATGCACATTTTACTACGCCTATAATTACACGACACGTATGACATTCAGATTTCAGTGTCTTTAAAAAATCCAATAAAATAAAATAAAAAGTTTTGTTTGTTTATCATTCTACGACATTGTTTTTAACCACAGATTTTTCATTAAAATAATATTACACATTTTTTTAACCAAACATTTCAACATTAATCACTATTTCATAATAATGGGACAAAAACACGCACTAATGAATTTGAATGTCGTTTTCTGTATTATAAATTGGGAATCGATGGATTTGAAAGCACTCTTTCGACTCAAGGAAGATATGTCAATCAATTTAAAAAGTGATTTCCTATTTATTACACATTTGCTTTTACTCTTACCAAAAATTCTGTAGTCTATCATACTAATGTCCCATTCGATGAAAATTAAAATTCAATTTTAATAAATTTTGATATATGTGATTGAAAAATTTGGTGTAATAAAATGTGTGATTAAAATTAATTATTAATTTCAATTTAAAATAAAATTTTAATTTGAATCTCCTTCAAATAGAGGCTAAATATATCTACAAACAAGTGAGTGAACTACCAAAACAAGGACTATAGGAAATTAGATTAAAGAGTTCTTGCTAATATATCTACAAGGACTTCAAATTCTATGCTTACGTTTCAAGCAGCTTCATTATTCATCTACCAATGCCAATTGTATACCACGCTCCACCTCAAGGGCGTATACAAATGCAATTATGGTCAACTAAATTACAATGCGTTTAATCATAATTTGCACCTATAACCGATAACACTAATCTTAATCACAGCCGTTTTTCACGTCCAACCCCTTATTATTATGTACACGCGTCTCCTCAAAAATAAAATAACTAAATTACAGTCTTTATCAGGCTATTAGAATTCCGATAACAAAACGTTAAGTTGACATTCGTTAGGTGTCGGTGACCATAAAGGTGATGACGGATTCTTTAACTTGTGAAAGTACTCCATAATGTAAATTTCGCATTTAACTAAGTCGTCTATTACTCCAATCTCGTCTTTTAATGGTAGAAATGGAGGCCGTACAACTTCCTTTAGTAAATCCCACTTCAAGCCGTGAAAGAACTCGTGTTCCTTAATCTCGCAGGCGCCTCTCCGATACCCGAGGCGGCGCGTGGGGTCCTTTTCCAACAACTTTCGAATCAAATCCGTTAATGGACTGGGCTTGCCAAAAAATTCTGGCCGGCCCAACAGTATTTTCTGAAATGTTTCTTTCCTGCTCTTACCCTTAAACGGCGTCGTTCCATATAACATTTCGTAGCCTAGCACACCAAGAGCCCACCAATCGACGGCAAATTCATGGCCATCGCCGCGTATAATCTCTGGTGCGACGTACTCCTCCGTGCCCACGAAGGAATTCGACCGCTCATTCCTCGAAAAATCATCTGGGTTTCTCCGGCTAACCGGCGACACGCGAGCACTTTTTGCCTTCTTCAACCCTGTCATGTTATTGTTCAATGCATGCTTTCCTCTTTTCGAAATAATGAAGCGCTTGAATTTCCCGGCGAGATGAGGGTTCTTTAAATTTGCTGGTGAATTTTCCTGCGGATCGGAGTAAATTTGCAGATTATCCGGTTTCCTTTGGACTAGGTTTCTCGACAGGTCGAAATCCGTTAACGTGATGTGGCCAGATTGTTGTACGAGGATGTTTTCCGGCTTTAAATCCCGGTAAACAATGCCTTGTAAATGGAGGTGCTCCAAAGCACAAATGATTTCCGCTAAATAAAAACGGATGACCGCCGACGAGAAAGCTCGGTCGTTTTGGCGGTACCGGAGCTCGTTGAGGTCACCGCCGGGGCAAAACGGGGTAGCCCAGCAAATGATTTCATGATTTTCAAAAGATCCAATGAGGTATGGCAGAAAAGGGTGGTTGTGGAAGCGGCTGAGGACGGAGATTTCGTGGCGAGCGCGGCGGTCGGCGTGACGGAGGGATGATTTCTCCACCACCTTGAGGGCGAAGGGGCGGTGGGCAAAGGGGTCGTTTGACATGTGATGGACGAGGAATACTGTGCCCATTGCACCTTTGCCTAGTACTTTGATGGCTCGTAGGTTGTCCAAATCTAACAAATCCGGCGCCGGCGGAGCTGTATTGATGGCCATTGCAATTTTCGAGAGACAAGACAAGGAGACAATGTTAGTATGCAGATAGCAGATATGCTTGGTAGGAAGGAAGTATATATATGCAATGGCACACGAGGGGATTATAGAGCAAGGGCATGTTTGGATATGAATATAAGTTAAAGTTACTTAAGAGTCATTTCCAGCTGATGGAATAAAACAAGATGGGCACACGTGTAGGTGGTTCAAGGAACTTTTTAGTAAGAGACAAAATGTGGGCTGTCTGATTATCAATTAAAATTGCATTATTGATCCTTAATATGTTGACTCAATATTGTTTCACATTAGCAAGTTAGTTCGTAACTTTCTAATATAGTCGCACAATCAATTTTTTATTAAATCATCATATGACACGTTAAGGCGCTAAAAACCAACTTTATGAAATTTGGTTTTGTATCCCAACTTATTTTGATGTCTAAATTGAAATAAATCATATTATTATGCAAATCACGCTATGGTTGAATGAAAATTTGGACAGTTAGCCCTGGTTTGGGCTCAACTAAAATGCATTTTGGATATTTTGGAGAATGTAATTAAAAAATAAGAAAATATTTTGAATTTATGTGTGATATTATCTTATTAAAGAATGCGTGTTTTAAAAAAAATGCATTTTTTGAGAATGAGCCCAAACAAAGCTTAATGTCATTAAGAATTACGATAGTAAAAAGTTGGAGATAACTTTCTTTGTTTTAAAGATTTAGGACTAACTTGTTACTTGAGTGATAGATTGGGGGAAATTGTGAAATTATTCCTTAAATTGAGGTTTATGCCCCAATTTGAAATTCTACTAATGAATATATTAACTTTTTTATTTTATTTTATTGGAAGGATGTCTTGTATTATTGAAGATGTATTTAAAGCTTGCACGTGGGTTGCACTTGTGTCAAGAAAAAATTATAATTTAAATTTATATTCATTCAGCGACTTTCTTTAGAAAATGAAATTACACTTTATTATTTTTATTTATTATTTTATTTTTTATTTTTGGTGGCGGAGGAGTGGGGGGATTTGACAAGGTTGAATATAGAAATATAAAAGAATCGTACCATATTTGAATTAAGCAAGTTCGAATTGTCTATGAACTTAGCCTTGTTCAACTCTGATTTTTTAAAATTTATTTTCAATCACATATTCTATAAGATCCACAATTTTTATTAACTTTTTGACCACACATTTCATTAATTTACTTTTGTCAAAATCTATTAAAAATTCAATTTTTAGCTAAAGCAAATAGGAACTTAAGACACTCTGTATTGTTATATCAAACTATGCTACCATTCCATAGACGTGTGAAACAATCTATCGCTCCAAAAAAGACCTCTCATGACACGATCGATATCATACTAGGCGATTATGATCTCCGTCATGGTCTGAATTTGCTCCGATTTAAAGTTGAAGGTAGGGATGTGAAAATGTTGTTCTATTTTTATGATGGCAGTTTGATTACCTTAGTGGCTACTCAAATCTTGTACTTACTTGGAGAGGTAGAGATGGAACTCATCATTTAAAATCCCCCACCCCTATCATTTACCAAGCATATAAAACATTTCTACTTCTAGGCTCTTCGTGTTCCATGTAACCATGGTGGATATCTTTATATATACTACTTATTCAGTCATGTGGACTAGATGGTAACAAAAATTATTGTTAGAAAACAAGAAAGTAATTAATAAAAACTCGTGATAAAATGTCACTTGTGCATCGATATGATACATATCAAATGTCATAGTATGGAAGAATTATGCGATCTCTACTCAGGGTTCGTCTAGTCAAGATTATAAAAGATCAAAAACTACTTCTAAAATTAAGAAGTTGCTTTGGGACAATATTTGAAAAATTTTATGAAAGTATTTTGTTGAATTAACTAGAAGAATTTTAAATAGAAGTTGGCTTAAAGTGAGAAGTATTGTCACTCTGACCCTCAATACAATTAGAGATAAAAATAATTTACTTTTAAGTTATGGTGCACAGACATGTAAAGCAGGACTCTTTACAGATGTTGGCATCTCCCAAATTTAAAAAAAAATAAATAAATAAAAAATATTCCTTTGTAAAAGTATACTAGAATTAAGAAACCCATAATTTATAACTTTAGGTAGCAAGAAAATATTGAAATTAATTTAAAATAGGTTATCTTTTGAGGCTCTTTTCAACATAATTGCCCCACTTTGAATTCTTAATTCCTAATAATTCTTTTCAAGGTTCGCGTAATGTGTTATTGTCTGCCATCATTTGTTACGAAAAAATGCAACCTTCCGCACAAGAAAGTTCAAAGAGTGGCAAGAAAGAAGAAATATATATGTATAGGGCAAATTCCTCCGAGTCCTCAACCTTTCATAAATCAGCTATGTCGCAAACTTTTCATTTATGAATATAAGTTAAAGTTACTTAAGAGTCATTTCCAGCTGATGGAATAAAACAAGATGGGCACACGTGTAGGTGGTTCAAGGAACTTTTTAGTAAGAGACAAAATGTGGGCTGTCTGATTATCAATTAAAATTGCATTATTGATCCTTAATATGTTGACTCAATATTGTTTCACATTAGCAAGTTAGTTCGTAACTTTCTAATATAGTCGCACAATCAATTTTTTATTAAATCATCATATGACACGTTAAGGCGCTAAAAACCAACTTTATGAAATTTGGTTTTGTATCCCAACTTATTTTGATGTCTAAATTGAAATAAATCATATTATTATGCAAATCACGCTATGGTTGAATGAAAATTTGGACAGTTAGCCCTGGTTTGGGCTCAACTAAAATGCATTTTGGATATTTTGGAGAATGTAATTAAAAAATAAGAAAATATTTTGAATTTATGTGTGATATTATCTTATTAAAGAATGCGTGTTTTAAAAAAAATGCATTTTTTGAGAATGAGCCCAAACAAAGCTTAATGTCATTAAGAATTACGATAGTAAAAAGTTGGAGATAACTTTCTTTGTTTTAAAGATTTAGGACTAACTTGTTACTTGAGTGATAGATTGGGGGAAATTGTGAAATTATTCCTTAAATTGAGGTTTATGCCCCAATTTGAAATTCTACTAATGAATATATTAACTTTTTTATTTTATTTTATTGGAAGGATGTCTTGTATTATTGAAGATGTATTTAAAGCTTGCACGTGGGTTGCACTTGTGTCAAGAAAAAATTATAATTTAAATTTATATTCATTCAGCGACTTTCTTTAGAAAATGAAATTACACTTTATTATTTTTATTTATTATTTTATTTTTTATTTTTGGTGGGGGAGGAGTGGGGGGATTTGACAAGGTTGAATATAGAAATATAAAAGAATCGTACCATATTTGAATTAAGCAAGTTCTAATTGTCTATGAACTTAGCCTTGTTCAACTCTGATTTTTTAAAATTTATTTTCAATCATATATTCTATGAGATCCACAATTTTTATTAACTTTTTGACCACACGTTTCATTAATTTACTTTTGTCAAAATCTATTAAAAATTCAATTTTTAGCTAAAGCAAATAGGAACTTAAGACACTCTGTATTGTTATATCAAACTATGCTACCATTCCATAGACGTGTGAAACAATCTATCGCTCCAAAAAAGACCTCTCATGACACGATCGATATCATACTAGGCGATTATGATCTCCGTCATGGTCTGAATTTGCTCCGATTTAAAGTTGAAGGTAGGGACGTGAAAATGTTGTTCTATTTTTATGATGGCAGTTTGATTACCTTAGTGGCTACTCAAATCTTGTACTTACTTGGAGAGGTCGAGATGGAACTCATCATTTAAAATACCCCACCCCTATCATTTACCAAGCAGATAAAACACTTCTACTTCTAGGCTCTCCTTGTTCTATGTAACCATGGTGGATATCTTTATATATACTACTTATTCAGTCGAGTGGACTATATGGTAACAAGAATTATTAGTAGAAAACAAGATAGTAATTAATAAAAACTTGTGATAAAATGTCACTTGTGCATCGATATGATACATATCAAATGTCATAGTATGGAAAAATTATGCGATCTCTACTCAGGGTTCGTCTAGTCAAGATTATGAAAGATCAAAAACTACTTCTAAAATTAAGAAGTTGCTTTGGGACAACATTTGAAAAATTTTATGAAAGTATTTTGTCGAATTAATTAGAAGAATTTTAAATAGAAGTTGGCTTAAAGTGAGAAGTATTGTCACTCTAACCCTCAATGCAATTAGAGATAAAAATAAGTTACTTTTAAGTTATAGTGCACAGACATGTAAAGCAGGACTCTTTACAGATGTTGGCATCTCCCAAATTTAAAATAAAAAATAAAAAATATTCCTTTGTATAAGTATACTAGACTTAAGAAACCCATAATTTATAACTTTAGGTAGCAAGAAAATATTGAAATTAATTTAAAATAGGTTATCTTTCGAGGCTCTTTTCAACATAATTGCCCCACTTTGAATTCTTAATTCCTAATAATTCTTTTCAAGGTTCGCGTAATGTGTTATTGTCTGCCATCATTTGTTACGAAAAAATGCAACCTTCCGCACAAGAAAGTTCAAAGAGTGGCAAGAAAGAAGAAATATATATGTATAGGGCAAATTCCTCCGAGTCCTCAACCTTTCATAAATCAGCTATGTCGCAAACTTTTCATTTCTAGCACTCATGTCTCGACACTCTGCGAGATATTCCCATATGGGAAAAAGTCTATTTGGAATTAATTGAAGGGTAAAATTGTCCAAAAAATAATCAGAATAAAACGTAAATTTGAACAATCAATGCTTGAACTTTGGAATTGTAGCTATATTGACACCACATTTTTTTACGAATGTTAAAAGGTTAGGAACATAAAAGTTACCAACGAAAGATTAGAGAATAAATGTTACACTTATGAAAGGTTGAGAACTTCTCGACGAATTTATCCATACACACACACTCCACTCATTGTCAAGGTTGGGAACACTTATGACTTTCGAGCAAAAAGTTTTGTATACTTTGATGATGCCTTGTCGGCCATAGTTTATCCTTGAAAAGCAATTAGATTGATTGATTTGAAAATAAGAATAATTAAATTTGAAGGTAACTTTATTAATTCTCCACTTAAGTTATACCCATTTTAATTTTTG